TTTACAAAAATTTTCTCCGAGGCACCGTTAACGAGTTATTAACGAAAAACAGTGACCAATGAGAGGCGAGCTCGGCTGGCGCGAGGCGACCGAGCCAATGAGCGGAACTGGGCTTCGTGCGCTGGCTGGCTGGGCCGACTCGCGTCAGCCGTACTCGATTCTTATTGGTCACTGCTTTTCGTTAATAACTCGTTAACGGTGCCTCGGAGAACATTTTTGTAAAGGAAGAAGTTGCTTCGAATGATCCGAGGAACCCGCCACTTTCGGATTGCGAGATATTTTTGGGACACTCTGTATATTCGCAGCTGCAAAAATCGCCGGCCATGGCTGTTGCACACGCCGGTTGCAACATTGTCTGGGGCAACGGGGAACTATGTTGCAGAACGTTCAATATGTAGCTCGTTTGCATCGTAAACGGACCATTCGAACCGTTCGGTAAAGATTATTGATTGGAACTGGCACGATTGAGGCACGTTAAATATGCATGAACCGCAAGGAACACGGAACAATTCTCATGCAAACGAGTTGCAATCGCGCGTTTTTAATAACAAATTGTCTGGCTCGCGGGCACACGTGCCGACGCACGAGGACAATCTTCGGAAGTTTTAATTAGTGCAACAGTTCTTCGACGGGTTCTTCGCGGTTTCAATCGGACGCATTTCGTTCGGGAAGAAATGATTTCTTCGCGGGAACCCATAAATTACAAAAACCGTGCGATTGCTCTGTAACATTGTAATCGCTGGAAGCGCGACGCGCGTGTTCACGTGTCCTTTGGCCAAACGGAACCGACCTTCGTAGTCATTGGTCAACGGCTGATAAAGATCGTAGGTGAGGGTGGTGTCGTCCGGAAGGCCGATGTAAACTCGTCCGCCAATCGGCCAAGGACAACGGACACGTCCGATTATACTGTGGACTATGGTCTGCACGTGGCCGCTGAAACCCCATAATCTCGTTGGTTTGTATCTGAAACGTGAAAAAGACAATGGATAACTGCGACGTGCTTCGCCCTGCATTTACCCCCCTCCCCCTCCACCCTGAAGAGAGATCGTTCGGAAAAATCGGTCGCGGAATAAACGAGACGATTAACATCGGTGCGAGGATCGGTACGTGATCGCAATATCTCGAACGTCCATCTTCTGTTACTATCGGCCTGTGTTCACCATAATTCAGAAGGCAAACACACTATGGCATCGTAATGCCTGACGACTGAGTCACGTTCTACGCGCTGTGTACGTTCTTATCTATTATAAACGACGTGTCTTTAATGCCTGACCTTGCGCGACCCTGACAATCGTAACGCCAGACGGTGTTACATCTACGGCGTTGCATTCGATTGACAACGAATTACTATATCGCTGGAAATTCAGAAACAATTCGCCGGTTCGGCTGCAGCGAACTCTCTCCTAATCGACGCTCGGATTGTACAATAATTGCTCCCTAATTCGGCTTGTTTTTATAGTCATCGACGATCGGTGACTATACAAATTGTTGAAATTTTAGCCTCGAGCAAAAATTAATCTATAGTTTACTTAATACTAAGATACTAAGATATCGGTTTACATTTTCGTCGGTTCCGTCAGCGGGCAACGACGGTGATGTAAACTGTATATAGTAGATACCGCGATACATCATCACCGGTACCATTAGATATACATCGTACCCTGACTGTTTGGGGGCCCAGCGTCACGTATACAATGTGAAACGCGACAAATAAAACGTCCCTGATTGGTGGACAAGACGAACCCAAAAAGGGTATAAAAGAAGCGTTTTTTTCTTGCCGGATTCTCAGTAGAGTTTGGTCGCTCGATCGTTTTCGCCCATATACCTTCTCTCAATAAAGGAATAAAATAAAGTCCTTTTTAAGAAAAGAATTAGAATCATATACATTTTCATTCCATAATCCTAATACAAATAATAACATGAAAGAATAATTGTACCTACTTTTCCTAGATTTTTCATTTTTGCGTACAAGTTGAGGGTCAATTGAGAAGAATTTACTGTAAGAATAATTCGCCTCTGAGTAATTAGCTCGTCGACGATTGACGACCACGATTTCGAGATAGTACAACTTTTTTGTTGAAAGTACTCCAAGTTGTTTTTTTTATCAACGATAATAGAGATAGCTCGACATTAGCGCATAGAACCGAACACGAGATAATCCGTTCATGACCTAGAACAAACAGCTATAAAAATCACAAGGTCGAGCTGAATCGGTTACGGCATTTTCTAATCGTCCGGATCACCTTTCTAAAAATAGTCCTTCTATAAAAACACGCTGGAAAACGCGGTTCATTACTGTCCTTATGCAACTGCTTAATAAGATGCGCTCGTGCCAGTGCTCTCGAATGCACCCTCGGTTCCCGTTCGCGTCGCTTTGCCGGATAGGGGATCGTTTTCTAAAAACGCGGCCTCCTCGACGAGATTTATATTTAAACTGCAACATAACTCATCACCGTGTTAACAACAATGGGAGAACACGCAGCAATACATGTAATTAAATCCTTGCAGTCTTCTTAGAAACCTACGGAACTAATTGTCTAAATTTTTATGCTACGATTCGCGTTAAAAAATCTAAAAAAATACAGTCCTGGTTTATAAAAAAATTGTGTTGCATATCTGTTAAACTAGTCGCTCGAAGATCTAAAATTCCAGACATTTCGTCGACTTCCAAAAAACTCATTCCGTTCGAAAAGCTGTTCAAACACTTATCGCGAGTCACCGTATTTTTTCGAAGACGATGCATCCACGGTACAATTAGGCGAATTATGCACAGCGAATCATGCAGTCCCGGCGAAGAGGCCAGCCGAAAAAGTTCGCGTTTACGGTGTGGCCGACAGCCAAAGTCGATCAGCCGCCTCGCAATGTCTCCGGGATTAGAAAACACCGGGGCAGGATGGTCTCATGTAAATCAGCCGACACACTTCCTAGTCCGGCAATTATGTTTTTCGACGTCCGGACTGGTTCCAGAGACACAGTCACCCATTGTGCTCGGCGCCCGCGTCTTGCCCGCCCCGCCGCGCCGCGAAAGTGTGTCTTTTCTTTCGCCGGAGATTCTGTAATTTTTGCGTCGTTTACCGGGGAGGAGAGGCGGTTCGTTCGGTCGCGAAACGACTACGTCGTTGGCAACGGATTATTAAGCGGCGTTATTGCAGCCTGCAAAGAATCGCCCAGTGGATCAGTGGAGCATAGGAATCCGCGGGCGAATCACCGGGCATTAGCCCGGCGGGACACGCGTGAAACGTACTTTTGCGACGCACAAAAGGAGAAATCGGCCGCTTCCACTTTTTACCACGGCCATTATTTCGGGGCGTGCACCTTCTTGAACGCGACCTTTACCATTCTTCCGAGCGTAATCGTAAAACCGTGTTCGGCCGTCCGCGGCCGCGACGGAACGAGGACAACGATTTTTGTTGTCGCAGAAAATGCTGCGGGACCGTTTTCCGTTTTTGCGGATGACTTCTTCTCCCCCCTCGTGAAGTTTGCCTCGTTCGCTACGTATCAATGGGTCCTACATAGAGCGAGTAATAATAGTGTATTCGAACGCTTTCTCGAACGGGACAACCTTTTTCTCCGAGTGAACGAAATAACTTGAATTTTGTTCCAGATGTTAGACCGACTAATTTACCAGGCAAGATTCTTGCAAATGTTACAAATTACCTGGAACCACGTTTTTCTAGTAACCTTTTTATCCGGATACAGTATAATACTCTGTATCGAGGCTAGAACTATCAAACAAGGCAAAACAGACTGGTCTCTGATCTTTTTTCTTCTAAAATTTTGACGACAGCTGGCTGCTGCTTCAGAGTCGCTGAAGCTGAGCTATTATCGACGTTTGTTAACCCTTTGCGTTTGAGTGGTGCCTCTGAGACATCGCTAAAATTTGTTATATCACGTTCTAAAGTAATTTTTATGTTAACAAATGTTAGATTTAAAACATCGTTAAAGGTGTAACTGTTGCGCGAGTCACGAGACTCAATTTCGTATGAATTGAAAATATATAGTATTTTCATACGAATTGAAGATACTGTAAGTCAAAAAAAAAAATTATTTCAGATTTACAATTCAAATAGCTTCGAGTGCAAAGGGTTAATTTCATTTCATTGTTAGCCACGATACGGTCAATGTATTTAGGTCTGTTGTTCCAGAGTAAACACGTTTACTTTACAAATTATTAGTTCGTTGTTAATTTATATTGCGCAAAGATTGACATGCCTCGAACTTGCATATATTCTTTTGAACCCGCATGAACAATTCGTGCGGCTATCATCGAGAGTTAAAATATTCTATATAGAGTATCTCGCCGAGTTTATCTCCTCCAGCAATTATGCCAAGAGATTGTGTTTGCCCGCATTTGCATAGAAAGTTACAAGATGATTCATAGATGAACACCGAAGACCGAGATTCCCAACGTACCGCGCCGTTAATAAATGACAAACTATGCAGGAAACCACAGAAGATTATCGGGTTTGTTTAAAGCTTGTTTACCTGAAACGTGAAAACATAATCGTAGAAAGTCGTGTCCACGTACGCTGAATCAATATTTTCGATATACGAATTTTTAGCCGAGCTGGATTCCCGCTGCTGATTCGACCTACAAACATTTCTTGAACGGTCGGCAAAACCATAATTAGATTCGAACGAGAATTCGGTCATAGTTTTCTACCGAGCTGATTGATCATTTTCGGAAGAAGCGAAACGGATCGTAAACGACCTCGAGCATTTTCTAGCTGGTTCTCATTTCAAGCTTCAACGACGTTCACGCGATTTATTAGTTTTCACTGTAAATATGCCGCTGTTCTGATTCGATGCGGCTCTTTAACAAGTGCCGATATTTTGCAAGGAAAGCCTGAAAAATATCTCGTCGGAAGATGATGAAAAACGAGACATAGTTTGCCTAGGACGAGCCATCGAAGGCCGTCATTGAATTTCAGAGTCGCGCGACGCCGCGGACTTCCGGTCCTCAAGGCGAAGCATCGCGTTACGGAATTCGGTTACAGAAAGCGGATTTATTACGAGGTTCGCATAATTTTTCTGTTCCTCGGATCAGTCGGATTTATGAGCTGACTTTTGATCGAATACCCGTTTATGGCAACGAGACGATCATGTGTCGAGCCGTCGTCGCGCGAAAGAACCTTTCGCATGCGTACGCAATTTGATTCATCGAGAGTCATCTCGACACCGTTAACCGCGTGATTTCATGGCGCGAAGAGAGAATGAAATGCAAAGCGATAAAAAACACGAGAAATGCGTGATGAAACTGTTACATTATTATCAATCTGCTGGAACGGCGTGGAGCAGAGTAGAAAGTGATTCGATGGATTCACGGTCGATGAAAATGAAACAGAAAATAGTAAAAGTTGTGGAAACATTTACGAATACTGTGTTGCTGTGAACTTGTTGAAACGATTAAGACTCGCCCGAGACAATTAAGAATAGAAACCGCTTTCTTTTTAACTACCAGTTCTTCGACCTTACGCAGAAACCTTTCATTTTTCACGAAGATCCACGGCGATTGCACGCAGCAAATTTTCAATCGCGAACGAAAGAAAAATCAGCCCGGACGATGTAACGCAGCGATTTCTTTCGACATAAACGATCGAAAACGAAGCTGCGAGCTATGCTATGCTTCCGTGGCATAGTATATTCGGAAAGCAATCGTTACGTTTTCTGTAGACCGTGGACAAACTGTTAAACGAGTTCTACAAAGAGTTCGTGCCGAGTTCCGCAAACTTCCTGATAGAAAATTCAGTTGTCGAACGAAAGAAGGATGCGGCCGAAGCCTGCGATGTTAACCCATCGACTGCCAACTACGAGATATCCTCGTAGTAAGCGTCTGTACCAAAACTGCCAGCTACGAGATTTCTCGTAGTGGGTGCTGCGAGTTTAGATCGGCTACAAATGGCCATCTGAGTTAGGAACTATTAGAAAGGATGAATGAAAAATGTATATAGTATAGAGAACTA